ACAGAGCCACCCGCTGACCAAAATGCCTGAGGATTGCCTGGTGCAGAACGGTCCTGTTTTATTAAATAAACTCTTGGTTCTGTTGCGGTTTCACCGTTTTCAGTGATGTTTATTGTGGTTATTAAAAGGCCTTTATACCCCCCTCCATCATAGCCATACTTAGCTAATTAGCCTCGAGAGCAATCGTCAAATTTTGTCAATACCAGGAGCCCATGAGTAGTTATGGGCTCCTGTCAATACTTCATTGGACATCGCACGTTACTATTGCGTTTCTTTTTCATTCGTTATTCGCTGCAATGTAGTCCATCGACCAGGCCCCAGTTGTTCAAAAGGTGGATAGCGCTATCCACCGGATAAATCACTACCCACTGGATAGCGCAATTGGTTTACCTAATATTTATCCAGTGGATAATGATTTATCCGGTGGATAGCGCTATCCTGCTTTTGAACAACTGGGGCCTGGTAGCCTGGCAGACGTTCGATAGGGAAGGGGAAGGAAGCGCCCCCGGAACCCTTCACTATCGTACGTCTGCCAACAGTGGCAGGCTATCTATCAGAGGGCTTCTTTGAGTTTATTCAGTCCGAGGGCCCCCCATATGAAACGAGAAGAGATGCTCGTCATGTCGTTTAGGGATATTAATAGGGAACTTAAGCAACGACGACGACGACGACGGCAACAAGAACGCAAAAAACAATAGGTTTAACAACAACTTTGCACGTGCATCACCCTTTTTAGTACATTTCTTTGCCGTTGGTGCACGACTACGACGTGAAAGTGCCTAATTTCACGTTTTGTAGAGAACGTGAACGCAAGACGACGACTTCCTTTTTCTTTTTCTGAATCTTGATACAGTCCTTTAGAATTGAACTCCAGAAAAATTCGCACACATCTGACGAATTGAACGAGATAGAATAAGCGCGATAAAGTTTGAAGCAGCGCGAATTCGCTTTTTAGCTGGCGTTTTCGTAGCCGGTTGTTGCTTAAACTCCCTAATGTTACTACTTCCACTTCGTTACACTGGTCCTCGCAAATTTGTTTCGGCCGTAGGATCGAATCTGATCTGAGATCGTCTAATCTCGAGCAATTAGTGAATGTGTGAAAATGGTGTCAAGAACAGGACAAGACCATGAAATCACCCGCTATTTTCACATCGTCAAAAATAAACTGTGACGATTCAGCATACTCTTACAAAACAGAATTTGGGTTTTTACGTAAAGCTGGCGTCAGTTCACATTTTCAAAGCACCATACGTACCAAATGACATAGCCTGCGTAGCAGGCGCTTGGAACGCAGGCTACAAATGACATGGTTTCGATGAAAGTGTTGAGTGGTAAATGATTAACAAAAGTTACAAGCACGTGTCAAGGTACTTCCGGCTAGCACGCTATGACAACTTCCGCCAATTACAGAGAAATAAAACGAAATTCAATATATGAGAATTGACCCGGTCCATTGAACTGAATCAAGTGGATGATGATAGTGTGCACATAAATGTAGTATTGTCGGTGGTAAGAAAACGGCACGTCTCTTGGAAGCTGTTTGTCAAATAAATGATAATTGCATTTGTATACATAAACTACACTCAGATAACCATTCAACAAACAAATGTAGAGTCGAACAAAGGTAGAGCTCCTGGGGAAAAACATTTAAAGAACGAGGTTTTACCCTGCATGAGTAGACTCTGAGTATGCTACCTAATGAACCGTTTTGTTTACGAGTTTATTTTTAATGTGCGTAATAACTGGTCTAATATTTTTTAGCTTGAACTTAAACTTGAAAAAATATTCAAGGCAAGGTTATATGAATATTGGTGGAAGCTATGTGGAGACCTTTAAATCATGTCTCATTAACTATTGATATCAATTGTTCCGTCAAAGCGTGCGATCACTAATATTGCAGACGCATAGCAATGATAATCGCTGTAAACAAAAGCGGACCAAATCTGCAGTTTTGTTTTATGTAATGAATGTTTCATCGACATCACAAGTTTTACCGCGCGCGCGCGTTGTACATGTAGAACTCGTTTCCATAGAACAACTGCTTAAAGGTTCGAGCGATACAACGCTATGCATCTCACTGGGCTATCGCTCTCCTGATGAATAACACACAAAGCCAATAGGAACAAACCTTTTGCAACAACCATTTTTGAGAAGTATCTCGCTTATTAAGAAATTCAGCTGCAGTGTAAACATGGCGGAACGGAAGGGAGAGAGAGCAGGGGATCACACAGACAAATGTATGGCGGCTATGAAAGAGGATCTTGCGGCGTGGATGTCGAGAATTTTGAATTTGATGGTCACGGCCGAGACGCTGTTAGAGGATTTAGAGACAGGAGTGGTTTTGTGTAGACTAGCTAACACAATCCAGAGTACGGGCGAAGAATTTCTTGAGTATAACAGCTCCATACCTCGAGACACATTTCCACCTTGCGGAGTTACTTACAAAGAAAGAACAGGCTTTCGCGGATCATTTCTTGCTAGGGATAATGTCGCGAATTTTATTCGCTGGTGTCGGCAATTGGGAGTTGCAGACATAATTATGTTTGAAACGGAAGATCTCGTTCTTCATAAAAACGAGAAGTCTGTTATTCTAACACTCATGGACGTGGCACGATTGAGCGTAAAATTTGGCCTTGAACCACCAGATTTAGTCAGACTGGAGAATGAAATTGACCAAGAGATTGAAGAGCAACCGGACGAGATTATGGAGGAGCCGATGGTTCGATTAAAGAAGAAACATAAATCGCACAGCCTAGACGATCTGGTAAGTGCGTGCTATCATGTGTCCTAAACATAAGAAATAAAATATCAATAGATTATCGCGCTTTTTTGTTGAATGATTCAAGCAAAAGTACACACTGCACAAGAATTCGCGCAGCATGGAATAGAGTACCCCGATGGTCGAATTTGAGTGTATAAACTAAACAAAATAAAGCTTACTCTACCATTATTCAAATTAGGCACGGCTGACAGTTGCAATTTTATTTCAAAGAGTTTTCATTATAATGCATTGTCCCTTGCTAGTACTTGTGTTTGCATTACAAAACGAGTAACTTAACGCGTGGTTCTCGAAGATTTTGGAGTACGAATACAACAACAAATAATCCTGATCAAAAACAGGCGAAGAAGGAATTAGAAAACCGCAAACGTCTATGTATTTATCCGATAAAATCCCTCTTTTTTTACTTCCTTTACTAGTAAAAATTATTCGTTAAATAGCCACATAATTTTTAACCAAGAATTGGTGATTTACCATAGAATCGTCCGTCTCGAAAAAAGGAAAGAGAATCGAGAATGAAATAAAAGTAACGAAAGTGAGCAAGAAATCGGCAGATTTGTTTTTAACGATACTTATAATTATTGTTCATGTACTTTTACCCCATTTCAGAAAAATCTGAATTTATTCCGAAATACAGTAATTGCATTAATTTATAGATATTCCAAAATTTTAAGATTACCTAATAGTCTCGGAATAAGCTTCGAATAATAACTCCTGCAGAGAAATCCTAAATGCTTGTATTTTTCTTATAAATAGATACGACGTGGTCTTTATTTGGACAGCCGGTTGTGTTTTGTTGAATTATTGGAATTGACCAGAAGGGCGGTGGAATCGATTTTATTTTTGTGAAGATAAATATATATATATATAATATAGCCGCTTTCAAAGCGATATGTTGAAACGCTGAACGTTAGCATTTGGCCACTACTAAACAAGAGAACTTGAACGGCAAAAATTTTTTAGTCAAATGAATATGATTATGAAGGAACTATTACCCGCTAGTGAAACGGAGAAAATGGATCATAGCCCATAGATAAATATTCAATTGCAAACAAACTCTTCAGCGTCACTACTGCATTTACTTAATATGATATATTAAATTGAAAAAGTGTTTCCCGTGGACAAATTTTTTTTCTTTTCAGGGAATTTTAGTTCACATGGTCAAGCTAGCCGTTACACCCAGTGGGAGGAAAATTATGGTCACAGATTAAATTTCAGTTACATGTTTTTTTTCCTTCAGTAAGCAACATTTGTCATAGTATCGCGTGCCCAATTCTTGTCTATCGTTGTCAACCTCGTATGTTAATCACCAAACATCGAGTGATTTATCTCCATAAAAATGCACCAAATCACCATATTTCGAAGTACTGAGTATTTTATTTATCGAGGGAAATTTCTCGTAAAACTAATTAAAACTTGTATTTTCGATTTCATACTTTGCTCGATTCACGAGTCAACAAAGTTGTTGGTTTTTAATTAGTTCCTATATTAACTCTAATTCACTAAGCGCAGAAAGTGTAGCAAAATCATTTAGAATAAAATATCGCATGATACACGCACAATATCCGAGTATTGTTTTTTGGTAAAAAACCTCGAGAGTCAGAATTTTGAGTTTAAAACTGAAAAAACAAAAAAATTTCTCAGATAAGCAAGGCATGTGTCAAATAAAAATACAAATACTCTCTTTAATTCGCTAAGGTTAATCCTTTAATCCTCAATGAGTTTCGTATTATTTACAAAATCATATTACTTATGCGAGACAATTTTTTTCTTTCAAGTTTTTGTAGTAGTTGTTGTTTTTTTCCTGAAGTGCTACTGAGATAAAATGAAAAAAGTTTCAGTTTGTATCTAATTATAGTCTTCAGTTGTTAATGTTCACACTTACAAGCTAAAACCTGCGTAAGAGAATCTTGTAACATGTTTATTGTATGAACTCTTTAAAACCAGTTTCGTCTACAATGCTTTTCACTAATACACTTAAATTAAAGTGAAAATTATCAATAATTTTTCAAAGAAAAAAAATAACAACTAACCTTTGGTGAAGGCAATTTTTAGACTAAAAAATGACACAAATTTCCCTGTTTGTGATAGCTAAAGCGAGAACATTGCTCTTGGCATATTTTCAAAAATCCAGCGCCCCCAAAATTGCTAACAGTGAACTCCTGTACATCTTGTCCACCGTTAAGTTCTCTTTAGCGAAAAAAAAGCAAGAACAACGACGAATAACGTAAAACAACATCAACAGCAAACATAAAGTTTGCGAATCGCAAGATAAAGTAAAGAATCGATAAAGTAGGACCAACAATCGAAGTGATTCTTTTAATCATAACATATATATAAAATCAGTGGTGATAAGACATTTTACACAAACTCTCGCCATTGATGTAATGAAGTTGTTGCCGTCCACTTTGCTCATATGACATGCACTTTATTTCCAAAATGTTTTTTAATTGAATAATTGTTAGTTAACAACTTTATATTTTTTTCTTGAAAATTGAGTGTCACGTTTTTATCAGAAACTGAGCGAGATCGACGAGTTTGAAATCGTTGATAAGGTACCAAGAAGAACGACGTGTTCATCAAGATGTTCTAATAAACTAATGGTGATACGAAACACGCTTTTATTCAGTTTTGTTATTATTGATTTCTTTTTGTTCCAGTAAACATATTAGGAGAATGAATGTTAAGGCCTGCTTTACATGCAAAATTTACGTAACGAGCCGCAAAATTTATAAACTTGCCAAAACAAGAACTAATTAAGCAAAATCAATAAATCAAATTATTTATTGTTGTGGCTTTTTTTCCTACCGCAAAGCCTTTTCTTCTGTCAGTAGGATTGCCAAAAACTTGCATGTGTCAAAAGGGGTGCAATCACCATTCTTGGTTCTACATGGAAAAATGGAACAGCAAACTCCCAAAACGCTCCATTTTTCTATCCTTGATTTTGGGGAAAGAGGGCTCTAAATCTTCCGTCTTTTCTGTCCAAGGCTGTGCAGTCAAACTCCGTTAATACGGACACTGAGGGGGCGATAGAAAGTGTCCGTATTAAGCTGGTTGAATTTAGAGAAAATGTGAAGTCTTACGTTCCCCAGGGACAAGGAAAACTGTCCGCAATAACGAGGTGTCCGCATTTGCGGTTGTCCGTAAAGTGGCGCCCTACTGTGTTTCTTGTGTCCCACTTGCACTAGCTTCAGCCTCCTACAGACACAGATTTTCTTAATTTGGTTTGTCACGAAACGTCCCTAAACGTGTACATGACGAGCCAAACGTCAAAACGAATTCTGCATCAGAAAAAAAGTCATGCAAGAGACCGTGGAAAATGTTTCAACTTACATGCAATACCAACGGTGTTCTTTTTCATTTGACAGTTACTCAAAGCGACCTTGATTCCGTGAAATCAGCGATCGCTCAAGCATTTTTTTAGGTTTACGCCTACACTAACTGGTTGTTCAATATCCCAGTTTTCAGATTTGTAAAGCAGGTTTTGCGTACTTTTATTCCAGAATAAGATCAATCGACGCACCCTAAATGACGTGAGTCTTTTTTTTTGTCTAGTCCCAGTGCGTCTCGTCCTCTCTAGCATGGCTGTTCTTTAAGGCTGTTCTGTACCACGCGGATGACAAACTGCAAACAGCTCATTGTTACTAAAGAGACAATTTCAATGATGACTACTTAGCACGGCTAACATCTGACCAAACCATTTCTAATGTTCTTTTAGTATGATAAGATTTTTAATCGCATCTATGTTTACAGGTTTATCAAGTGTTGGAGCAATGCACTTGCCCAGTAAAGTTCCCAGTCCTCCGCGTTGCGGAGGGAAAATATCGAATGGGAGAAAACAAGTCGCTGATATTCGTCAGGGTAAGTAGAGTAATATTGACCTCTTTTAGTTTGTTAAAACGCATTGTTATATTGTTGATCTTTACTATTTTTGTACATGTTGCAGTTTTTTGTTTCTCAGGCCGCGTTTATATTGAGAAAAGTTTTTCCGTTAAAGAGGCTCACCCTCCCAGCAGAGTCAACTTTAGCCAACGTGAGAAAAAAAGTGGACCCCTTCGCCCGAACCAAGAGCTGACAACAGCGCTCGCACATGCTCTGATTGTTTTGCCTTGACCGAGTTGACCCGGCTGGGCGACCCAAAGTGTCTATTTATTATGGAGAAAAATTTTCGCGGCTAGGAGGGTGAATCTACCATCGAAAAAGGGTGAACGAGCGGCCTAGCCAAGGGTCACCTTTCACGTCCAGCCAACCTTTTTGTTCCTCATGACCTGTCAGCGGTTTGCCAAGTTTTTGTAAGGAAATGTACAAAAAGTTGGCCCGCCCGGGTAGCTCGAGTAGCCATGTGAACCTTCTATTCGTGACAAGTTTACTCCATATAAACGAAGCCTCAGACTGATCTTTCTCTTGTTCACATTGGCGCTTTGTTGTCATGTAGTAATCAAATGTCCTTACTGATCGTTAACTCTCTCTAGGTCATGCGTAAGCACGTAATGGTTAGAGTTGGTGGAGGATGGGACACACTAGAAAGATACTTCGAAAAACACGATCCCTGTAAGATGTCAGGTAAGAGATTCTATAGAACAACGCCTAGCTTTCTCACCTCTCCTCCGCCAGGAGTCCATTAACTGAAAGCAACTGGCCAACTTTGTTCCCAAAATCAAGTTTAATGAAGGTTTTCCTTTGTTGGCTGGCGCGGAAAGGTACTCGTCCCCGCCGATTAAATACCATTAAGCTCGGTAGTTTTTTTGGCCTGCGAATACAGCCATCACTGGGGATGTATTGCGAGAGAGTAGGGAGCTTAACGAGGTCTATGAACGACAAAAATGGTTGAGCGAGGAGAACTGGAATGCAGGCACTATTTGTAAATCCTGTCAGTTGTTTTTGGGTTGATGTTCAGTTTTAGAAACCAGTCTTTTTTGTTACAACGAGGCCTACTAATGTCATTAGACAAAACTAAACTCTGGTTACTAAACGAGGTTAAATACCCTCTGCGACGCGCGACTCTGCTACCCAATGTCTGGCTAAATGTAATACTGCAATAATGCTAGGTTTACTTATGCAATTTTTCCTATCGCTTATGATGAAGAGAGGCAACGGAGAAACTCAGTCCGATCTCCCAGATCACGTAGTGGAAGCGATGTGATTGGTCGATCTCCCAGTTCTATGAGCATTTCCAGTACAGACAGTCATGACTCGTGTGGTACTCCTGTGGCACACGGACGCACTGCATCCTGGTCTTCGCCCCAGTCTTCTCAGGTTTGTAGAAGCTCTCCTCTTCTTCAAATCTCCTCTTTCTTACCCGGAAGGCCCGATACTCAGGCTAGTTTGTAGAGGATAGGAATGCAAATCGGGAGAAGGCATTATCTGCTTAGACCAAAATTTAGAACACTCTCTATTTTAATAGTTGAACGTTTTTGTGAAGTCGAAAAGTCTTTCGATCACAGTACAGGGACCGGCAATACCTTCGGCAACGATTCTTGGTCGATATTTGGTTTGGTGAATAACACTGAAAAAAAAAAATCTTATGAATGAAGGGAAATAAAGTTAGCAAAATACGCTACTAAAGAAACTGAAAGAAAATTATGGAAGAAACTGGATACAAAACTAAACTAAGAGACTTTAAAACATTTAGCCACGACTGGATTTGTTGCTAGAACAGTATAAAATGAGCGGAAATCAAGACTTGTTTGTTTCAGGTGACTGGTTAGCATTGTTTAGTACGTAATTTATTCCATTTCGTTTAAATATTAATGTAACGCCGTGTCATCTTGTCAAAGGCCCTGTGGCCCAATGGATAAGGCATCTGACTACGAATCAGGGGATTCCAGGTTCGAGTCCTGGCAGGGTCGTTTTTTCTCACCGCTAGTTTATTGTTTTTTTTCTTTTTTCTTTTCTTCTTTCTTTTTATGTATTTAGTCTTCTGTCGTCAGTGTTCAATAAAAATAAGTAAACCAATTAAAAAAAAAGGGAATGTTCTTTCTCCTTTTAGCATTTTAAGTAGTGCAGTGAGATTGCAGTGAGTATTGGGAAATGCGCAAAATCAGTCCTCTCTCTGAGAAAAAATGCAAAATTATTCTAGTCTACATCGAAATGGTTACCCTGCCAACCCTGCTTCCTCCTCAGGCGCGTCGTTTTCGGCAGACTAGCTCGAAACGCGAGTGACACGCGAGCGACTGCCGACGCAAGGGACCATGGGAAGGAGAAAAATGAGATGCGCACAATTTTTCATCGAGAGAGACAGACAGACGTCTCGATACGAGGCAGTTGCCACCCAGTGATAAAGACCTGATTTTTTAATATTTAGCTACTAGGTACGGGATTCGCAGATTATAAGTAACATGCACAATTTATGGCGCCAGCATAGGCCAGCAGATTCATACAAAAATCCCACGATCCTACCTAATCCTAACCCTGGGGACAAGGCAATCATGTTTTCTAGAAAAAAGGCAAAAATCGCTAAATCCATCCCGTAAATAGGGACTCAATAGACTAGGAGTAGTTCCTTCATCATTTTCCAGGGAGTAGAGCGAATGCGTGCGCGCGTGAAAATCACTAACTGCGAGGAACATAGTGCGCGCGTGTTACCTTCGCCTTGAGAAAAGCTGGTGGCCTTACCGTAGTCTCTGCCATAGATAAATGAATGAAACAGCCGAACATTCATGAATTAAACTCAACAGTGAAAAATTGATCAATATACACAATTACAACATCAAAAAATGAAGAAAATCGCGACCTGACAGCTTTCTCAATATTTTGTGTGGTTATTCTGTCCTTCCTCGTAGGATGTAATATAAATTTTTTTGTTAGACAGTGGCAATTTATAGTGTGAAGCTTCCCGTTACAATCTTGGAACGCTTCCCAATATTGTAGTTGCACTATTAGCCCCTCCGGTGGGGGGGGGGGGAGGGGGCTTATTTATTTCAAACATGTTTGAGGAGGGGTTATTAGAGAAGGGGGGGGGACTTATTTAATTTAGAGAAGATGGTAGTATCAGCTCTCCACAATAAGCTAGAACGCAAATTGAAAAAGCTCAAGTACAAAAAGTTGGAGGTCATGCAGCCGACGATCAAAAACAAATCCGAACTTCCAATAAACCATCGTGGATCTGTCCAAATACAGTTTTACAGTAATTATTGATTTATATAGTCTATCATTTATTAGTGAAGATTAATAAGGTTGAGGGGAGGAGGGGCTTAAAATAGAGAGGGGGCTTATTAACTTTCTTCTTCTAAAAAGGGAGGCTTATTAGAGAGGGGGACATTATTTGAGAGACGTGGCTTAATAGACCATTTACGATAAGCAGTGCCAAATGGACGTCGACCACGGCTTTAACCTCTACTTTTTCCTGAATTTAAGTCTAAAACAGTTGTAAATTTGGCATGGAAAAAAGCACAAGGGCCTACTTTGTAATTTTTTGTAAAGACGTTTCATTTATCCTCAGCTTAAGAGTCCACGAGACCCTGTGAGAAGACGGATGACAAGTGTTTCCCCTTCAAGGAGCTCTTCACCCTCCTCTCCGCGCTTACAGCAGCGGCAAAGAAGGGGTACCTTGACACGTGACACCCCACCCAGAACTATTGACACACAGGCCCGCGGTAGGCTGTCACGTAAGAGCAAAAGCATGCAGGAATTGAGCAGCGTCGTTGTAGATGGTCGCAGACCGTCCTATTCCAATCCTACTACTTCATCTATGCGGAAACAAAGTGTGACCGGTGAGAACTCTCAAAGGGAGGGAACATCCACGAGCAACGGTAACCCTGGACAAGCCCGAAGGAAAAGTTCAGTAACCAGCCCCAGAAAGTTGTCAGGTAATCTGGGACCACAAGGCGATTCTCCAGCTGGTAGGAATCGTTTGAGTTTAAGTGGACCCGTAGGTTCTCCAAGGTCGGGACCCGTGCAGGTTACAAGAAGCGCATCCTTTGGGGCCCGGCCCCGTCCGATGACGCCCGTAATGGAACCTCGCGCAAAATCAACGATGTCTTCGCGACCCACAAGGGACATGCAGAGGAGGGCGTCCTCAGCCATGGCTGGGAGAGTTGACTCTTCAGGTAAGTAATTTTTTGAGGTATCATCAATTTAAGTGGGTGATTAGATCTAAACGCATCTTTAGTGTGACATTCACAAGACCTTGGATCGTTGATGTTACAAGAATACAAAACTAAAGCCCAGTTCAACGCGAGCGTATTTACAAATTGTGAATCTCACAATATTACTTGAAAAAAAAAAAAGAAAAGAAAAGAAAAGAAAGGAAATAGTTTTCAATAGATACCGTTTGCCAACCTCGTGTTTGCGATGGATTTGCAATTGAGCCGTGCTCGACTCCAAAGCTATTCTCCTTTTTTAGGGCTTTATATACACTTTTAAGATCTGTGAATTGCCTTCATCCACAGAAGATGCACGACGCGGGGGGCCAATTGCCAAACGAAGGTCATCCTCCGCTACCCCCGACGGGAAATCACGGGTTCCTGGTTCAAGGAAACCCGCGCAAAACTCAACGGAAGTCAAGCAGGAGAGAAGTAGAAAGCCCAGCGTGTCCAAAACCCCTAGTCCTCAACCGAAAACAACACAGCCGGTAGCAGATAGGAAAATTTCAACAGAATCCGCCCGCGGACGTAGATCGCTACCTTCGACACCAAGAGAACGAAAATCTTCGGCTTCACAGCAAAATGACCAACCAAAACACCCAGCTAAAGCCATTGCAGTTGAAAGCAAGGCGAGAGGGTGTAAAACACCTCCATCATCACGCCGCGATAATAAGCTTGTAAATCAGAATAAGGAGCCAGGGAGTAAGATGATGAATGGCAAAAACACCGCGGGTGAAAAAAGAACCAAGAAAAGTTCTCAGACCAACCATGGGGAAGAAGGTATAAACGACTCAGAAAAAAGTACGCATGGCATGGTGAGTTTGCCCACAGCACTTGAGGATAACCCGGAGGTTACCCTTAATGTACAGTCGGTTGACCAGTCCATTGATTCAAGTGACCAGTTAGACGAAGTAGGCGGTGATTATAACGAGGACGTATTTTCACCGAACGAAACATACTCTCAAACGTTCGCATTGAACGGTGGGGCTAAAACGTCGGAATGTTCGTTAGAAACAGACAGTGACTTCACTAGTGATCGTCTGAGTGACTTTACAGACACTGACAACGATTTTAGAAATCAGCGGTATTCTGGTCTCTCAGAAACGTCTAGTGATTTTTCATTCGGCACAAGTCCTGCCTGGAGGCTATTTCACTCGGTTGAAAATGTTCGCAATAATCCACTAGAGTCGAGTGGTGAACCAGATGTCCTGGAACTAGGGACCTCTCCAACGGTCAAGGACTGCCTGGTGAATTTGAATCTGCAAGGGTCTGTAACTCCCACAATGAAAAGGCGTATATTTGAGGCCGCTCATCAAATTGACCCGAAAGAAGAGTCCCCAGATTTGTCAAAACAGACTGTATCAGATCCAGCGAATAAAGCTATGTTCTTTGATGTCGAAAAGTATAACGACAGAAGCCCGGATGAAGAGGAAGTTATCGTTGGCTCGCCCCGTAAATTGTCTCTTGTCCAGTCTCTTATCAACTCCATCGAGAGACGGAGCGGAAGTAGCAGTCATGCGCATACTACACCTTACAAAAATGCTGCAGTTGGTACCAGACCTACTTCTGGAGCCACCAGTAAGCATAGTATAGATGAATCAGCCGTCACTCTAAGGGCCTTAGTAAGCAATCACGAGACACCATGCGCCAGAGACCCAAAGGTAAATTCTATTTTGTTGATTTTTTAAAAGTTATAAAGGAATTACAATATCCCCTTGACGTAAAAAAGGGGTTTTGATGTAAGTTTAGCAATGTACCCAAGAAAGCCACAGCCAAATAGCAATGATAAAAATGCATTCCCTTCTTCGAGAAAAGGTCTGCAATACTACTCAAATTTTGTTGAGATACTAGACGAAAGCAGACCATTTCTCCAACGACTTATCTATCTCAGCTTTCTCTGTGTGTACTCCTCTCTTTTCCCCTCATGTTGATGTCTTGCGACTTTTTTTGAAAATGGAAAATACGTGAATGAACATTGCAGATGGCGTAACGTAACACGTGTTTTAACAAATGAGATCAACCCGACTACTGTAGTTTTAAATATGTCGTCATCTTAAGGTTGTCTTCACCAAATGAAGGCAAATACCAAACCACATGTTTAAATTGAAATTTACAGGAGAGTCCTACTACAGAGAGCATAGAGAACGGAACTGAACAGCGTTTCTGCACCTCGGAGGAGGGCACAGTGTCACGTGAACACCACATAGGATACGACGTCAACAAAAACCTCATGAACTCAGTTCCAAGCCTCCGAGAGAGCCCGAAACTCCAGCAGATTCCCGGAGAGAAACCACCCGAGGGTTACGAGAGCAAAACAAGAAAAATGTCCCGCGAGAAAACCAGACGAAAGGAAAAAGAACTGGACATTTTTCCACGACCTCAACGTCAGTTTACACTGGAGGAAATGATACAAGATATGATGCCCACAAATGGTGAGTCTAAGGAGACTGAAGACCAGCGAACTTTGTCGCCTGAACCTCGTTTTCAAGCTTGGCTATGACGATGTATATTCAAAAATATATTATTAATTTTTTGGGTCCAAAAATGTGCGATATCCGTCGAAATTCAACCGTAAAAAGCAGCGAGAGATTAAGATCAATTCACCAGAATTTGAAATTCTTGGATATGTCAAAGCTAACGCGAAAGATATAGATGTCCCAGATGCTTTTATAGCCAAACCCCAGCTTTTAACTTGGCTTTTTCATCAATAATCCTGGAAACGTGCTAGTATAACAAATAGGAGCTATAAAAACCGATGGTTGCCTTGTCAACCTATCACAATTAATGTTAGTTACCCGCTAATCGATTCCAGAAAACCTAGCACCGAAAAACTGTCTTTGAGGCCCGGTTCAGACGCCGCTCCACTCATGTGCTGAACCCAATTGAATTAGGTCCCACTTTGGAGCGACATTGGCGTGGTAACTGATTCAGACGCCGTACCGTGTGTCGATCCTAACCTTTATCTCCTGCCTGGGTCCGATACCATATTTTAGCGCCATAATTTATTTCCTCTTTGTCAAAGACCGTTCTTCTTGCTTCTGTGGACCTCTATTTTTGCCGGATTCATTGGAATCATTACATTCGACCTTCTCGTGCTCTTCCATAACTTTTCGGAAACATTGCTCACAATATGCGTCTACAGTGCCTGCTTTCTAGCCGTTAACAGTTTCATCATTCTCGAAGACAGAACAAGGCATACAGAGGTACTCCTGGCACCGTAAACAAGTATAGTTTGTATTCTTTACGCAACAGGAGAAAGATTGTTCTTCTTTACCCGCCATTTTCCTCAATTTAGTGTTCTGCGCATGGTAACTACGTAAAATCGAGGGGTATTGTGGAAAAATTTTTAAATTTAATGTATGCATAATGTATGCATTAGGTTCGGCACTTAAGAGGAGTGCCGTATGAATCACATGCCGCTCCAATGTCGAATATTGCGACAGACTCTGTCGAGCTTGGCGTTTCTGCCGCACCTAACTAAAACTGCGGTACCAAATTAATTCAAACGCCGCTCTTTTGCCGTACTTAATTCATCAGCTTAGGTTGGGCAAATGAGTGGAGCGGCGTCTGAACCGGGCCTGAGTTTCCCCTGAAGCAAAGGAGTAAACAACCAACATGTCAGAATGTCGATTTTGAGTATGTTGTATAACGTGTGGAATTTGTAAGAGAAATTAGACAAGAGAGAGGCAAGAAATTGTTAAATATTTTTTGGATTATCCTTTAACAGAATTTAAAAAAAGTTTTCTTGAAGTGTGAGGTTTAGTGATTATTTTCATAAAATATAGAGAGTAGATACCACATTGCAAACTCTTCCGCCATCGCTTAATTTTCCCTGAAATAACTGCTTAAAGAGTATAATTTTGTAATATAATATTTGAAGAATTTCTGTTATGCAAAATTCTCTGTTTTATTTATCCACCAAAAAGGGAGAAAAAGTCGGTTACCTTTAAAATTTTAAAACAAAAAAATATCTGACTGTAAGGGCCACCGTTAATTTCTTATTCAATTCCTTGTGTAACTTCTGTAAAATCTCGTGGTCGAATCAAGTGGTGTAAGTTTCATCTTTTCCTTGTCCAGTATAAGTGCTATCGAAGAGAGCAGGCTTATATGCGAAAAGGATTTCATTGCCATCAGGGATACTATTTAAGGTTTTATATGCATAAACAATTTAGGGCATTGTGTAAATTGTTAGAATATTATATTGAATATTTTGAGTTTTAAAATATAATGTGTAAAATACAATTTGTTTGGACCAGAATTTAACTTAAGTTATTGAAATTTAGTTAACTTAGTCAAGGTACTTACTATAATAAATTAAGAAGCATGTTTATTTTCCTGTCAATCGCTGGAAACGAAGGCAGCAGGTTTCCCTTTTTTTAGCGTTAATATTAGTGTCGACATAATAATAAGTTGAAAGAACTATTCTCGTTTGATAAAATTAACTGTCGAATTTAGATGCTCCGTTTTGGTGAAAATGCCAGCCTAGTCTTTCGTAATTTTGGAGTAATCATAACTGCCCAGATAACTGCTCAAAAACTATAGATTTACGGAGATTATTTATATGGTAGGTTCGGAAGGGTTTCTCTATGAAGTAGTAAAAGGGGTACCTCAGATTTTGCCAACGTTTGTTTTCGACATTAGCTTCAAAATGAATAAGAGTATTGTTACAGGCTTCTTCACTTTGAACAAAGCTGCATAGTATTTTCATTTCCGTTGAATATCGTGCGCCACATATGATGCGTAAATTGTACTTGGATAGCAACTTCAAGTGGTGGTGTGTGCATCCAAAATACCTTTGAGCTTCCTTAAGATCACGCGATGTACTTTTTGCTAGGGATGATCTCGCCGCCAGCTAAATGTCTTCCCTTTTTTGGTGTTAGTTCTGTGCTTACCTAAGACAAGACTGGAACGGAGCCAAACGAATTTGCTGTGTCCACGCCGGAGTTTGTTTAAAGTTGCAAAAGTATACCAAACTGTTATTCGTTTGCGCCGGGCTGTCCACACCAGCACAGAGCAACAGAACAACCATGACAACGACGACAGTTAAAGCGTCCAGGAAAAAATGAATTAGTGTTCTTTTATAGCCAATAACCCTTGCTCGATTTGTCCATTTTTGAGCGAATTTTTCTGAATTTTTAAGGACTACATCTCATTTCACATAGGTAAAAGAAAAATTCGTCTTTGTGTTCAAGTTTTTCAGAAAACATCCCATTTGGAATTTTCGCGTCATAGGCGTGCTATGGACGTCAAAGAAATGTGCCAAAAATTTGATACGCGCATGCAGTAGAGCTTTTGTTATTTTAAGTAAAGCTTTCTGTGTTTTTTACTTTCTTGTTGCCGTCTCCGGCTCGAAAATCAGACTGACCGAATAGAGCGTCTCTTCACACATATGAAAGCTGATTTCGGCGCGATTTCTGCAACGGAACGAAGCTGTGCGGCGCAGGGCCCGGTTGCATAAAACGCCCGTACCAACTACGGGTATACGTACGTGCAGTCGTAACTTAGGTGAGTTGCATTAAATCACTTAAGTAGTCCACTTAGGGAATTCACTTAAGTGGTTGCACTTACAATTTTCGTTAGTGTTCACTTAAGTGTCGGTTATGCAACAGAAATTGCGGGTGTTGCATAAAACTTTTTTTACGGGAAAAATAGCACGTAAATTTACGGGACTTATGTAGGTCCCGTATCGTTACTGTTTTTACTAAAGTTAACGAGATCTTTTACTGAGAAGTGAAAAGTAATTTTTCTTCCCTATTATTCGTTCTAATGCGCTTTGTTAACCTCTGATGTACACTTTAAAGCCGACGTTGTGAAAAAAGAAGAAGAATTATCATTTTCATTAGACATTAAAGAAAAATAACGATTGCATGCAAATTTCATGTTTTTGAGAGGCTTAAAAGTGTTCGAAACGAATTAAAATTTTCTTTACACTCACCGATGGTTAGCTTAAAAAAAAGAGTGAGTCATTAATAAAGTACTATATCAAAGTTACGTGTGCCTTTAAGTGAGCCCTTAAGTTACCACGTAAAAGAATAACTTACGAGAGTGCTAAGTGCGTTTCATGCAACACCCGTAAGTGTACCCGGCCCATAAAGGATTCGTAAGTGACCTACTTAAGTGGGCACTAAAGTGTAGGTTTTATGCAACCGGGCCCAGATCTCTGAAGTGTAGAGTCACATAGCGGAAAGGTGTTCACAGTATGCCTGATAGCTTAGTGTGAACATAACCTTATACTTACTTCTCGAGTGGACCTAGTTTCATTCACTTATTCTCCGCCTTGGTATATTTGTATTCAGCCATGTTTTATATTTTATTTAGACTGCAGGTTCTTTTCAATCTGCTTATTTTTAACTCGTATTATTGTTCATTTACAAAGGCTTTCCAGGGATATTTATTTATCATTAAAAACAGCATTATTGTTTGCATTTGAGTAGTCTCTTGTGAGTTTTTTTGTTGTATTTTTCATGCGTGTCCTTTAGAAATGAAACCGTTTTATACAGGAAGGATCCGCCTTGAGGTCCAACCCAGTACCCTTTTATATACCATTTTTAACTAAAAAGGTACCTTTTTCGTATATCTTCTATTTGAAAAATGGTATCCCTTTCACATACTTATTGTAGAACTTTGTTGTAGTTAATTTTTTATCTTAGTTAATTTTTGTTTTTCGATTGTTTTTGGGTATGGTAATGAATGCTAATGAATTTGAAACAAAAGGAATATAAAAATTGACTGAAATAAAAAATTAACTGCAAGAACTTTGCATCTTTTTAAACTGCTGTAAACGCACCTTCAAAATATCAATAAACCACAAAACCAGAACGTTTTTTCGACTTTTTCACAACCATAAAATGCATCTGTTAGCCCCTTTGGGCCTTTTTGCAGACCGAAATGACAGATTTGCCCATCCTTTCATATCCTTCAACTGGTGAAATTCCTACCCGTTCATATACTTGAAACCTGAGAAAGACACCTCCAACCTCATTCCCAGGGTCCTGTCCTACCCGTCCAAGGGTAAGAGAGAAAACCTGGAAACGAGGTTGAGGCTCCCGGAAGCCGTAAACAGATTAAATTTCATGCCTCCCCTTGATACGAACTGACTGGGCTATAGTATGTTCATATTCTCCGTGAACTCCTGCGTTGCAAGTTCGTTCCAGTTCACTGGGCACTAAGTAAAGGTGTATAGAATCATCATAGTGACCATGTGTCCTCTCGTGCTCGGCTCCCAGCGGCGCATTTAGTGCGAATAAAAGTTTTTCATTGAAACCTGGTTTTGGTTAACTAAATATTAGCTCAACTACTCATGCAATGATTATGTTGCAATAACCGTTACTAGCCGTAGATGTTTTAGGCGCAAACGGTCTGCGTTTTCTGGCACCAGAAACACAGGTTTGTACGTGTGGACGAGAGCGAGAAAACGATTCAATGAAACGATTAAATGACGACATTGACGATATGTGTGGACGCGCATTTTCCGGATACCACAGTGATACAGTGCTTGCA